TGGTCGGTGAAAATTCGCTGAATAATACATAGATGAGAAATAAAAAAAATTTTGATTAAATCAGAGTTTTATATATATATATATATATATATATATGATTTAAAGTGCAAAAAATTATGTGATAGTTTTTGGAATAAGATTATAAAAGTTTGAACATTGAAGCAAACACTTAGAGGCGGCAGTCTGTTTCATTCTAGACGTATATATCAGGCCTAGTTATATATATATATATATATATATATATATATATATATATTACAGATGGGGAAAACAAATTAAATACACATACAAATTTTTAATTTATTGTATTTCCAACTAATGAATAAACATACTTTTCATATAATTAACTGTACACAGATGCATAATAACTAAATATGCATAGAAAACTGAAAGAAATTTGATTTATTAGAAATAAATCCCATTTATCTATTTTAATGGGTTTAAAAATTATTCATACAATGCAAATTTCAGATTTTAACACATTCAAATTGCTTTAATACTTTAAATTAGTCAAATGTAATATTGTAGAATGTTCCAATAATGTTATTAGTTACTTTTAGCCTAAAAAATACAAACAGAACATTCTGTAATTGATATTCGTGCAAGAAGTTTATCATCATGGCAAGAGGTAAAGAATTGACAAATTCGCAAAAAGAACTGATTGTTAAGCTCTGGAAAGAAGGTAAAAGTTACAGGAAAATCTCAGACAACCTGAATATTCCATTTACAACCATTAGTTCATTCATTGCAAGGTATAAAAAACTCAAAACTGTTGAAAACCAAAGAACAGGTCCTCCATGGAAGATTTCTTCAAGATCTTCGAAGAAATTAATGCGTCAAATTAAACAAAATCCAATGGTTACTTGTCAAGAGTTGCAGGATGATTTGCTTTCATCAGGAATCTGTGTCACTAAACGGACAACAAGCAATGAAATTCATAGGAACAATCTAAAGTCACGATCCCCTCGGAAAAATCTACAGTTATTGAAAAGACTTGAAATTCGTTCATGAACATAAGGATAAGGAAAAATGGTATTGGGAAAGAGTATTATGGACAGAGGAAACCAAAACTGAGTTGTTTGGATGTAATTTTAGAAATCATGTATGGAGGAAAGATGGCGATGTCTTCAAACAAAAGAACACAGTACTAACAGTGAAATTTGGTGGTGGCAGCATAATGGTTTGGGGATGTTTTTCTGCAAAAGATACTGGCATTATAATAGATGATAGAATGAATGCCGCAGCATATCAAAATATTTTGGAAGCAAATTTAATTTCGGTTGAAAATCTTGAACTTCTTCCTGATTGGATCTTCCAACAAGATAATGATCCTAAGCACATTGCAAAATCTACGAAGACGTGGCTTATGAAAATAATGTAAATATCCTCAAATACGCAAATCAGTTCCCAGATTTAAACCCAATAGAGAATCTGTGGCGTTATTTGAAAATTCAAATCCAATCAAGAGCTCCAACAAACATCCCGGATCTGAAGACCATATGCGAAGACGAATGGAACAAAATACCAACTAAAATTTGCAAATCATGAATTGAGAACTACAAGAAGAGGTTGGTTGCTGTAGAAGTGAATAATGGCTTTTCTATAAAGTATTAAAGGAAGATTATGTATTCTTTTTTGTATTGTACGAATACTTTTTTCATACATTAAAAAGGATAAATTCTTTTATTTTATTTTCAAATTTTTTTGTTTTTTCATACATAGTTATTATGCATCTTTGTACATTAATATATGAAAAGTATGTTTATTCATTAGTTGAAAATACAATAAATTAAAAAATTTTATGTGTACGAATATTTGTTTCCTCTTATTATTTTTACATACATATATATATATATATATATATATATATATATATATAAATTATATATATATATATATATATATATATATATATATATATATATATATATATATATATAACATATATGTATATATATATATATATATATATAATAGATAATTAAGGATAATTATATATATATATGATATATATATATATATATATATATATTGTTTATTTATGATAGGAATAAATAGTAAATGTTTATAAATAATTTTTGAACTTTATAAAACCAAATTTTTTTTTATTTAATTTTCGGGAAATATCTTAATTAAATTTATTTACTTTTCTCTATTCAATTTTTTTGTTTTACTGATATATTTAAGGACAAGAATCGTTTAATTTTATATAAAAAAAATGATCCTTTAAATTACAAAAAACGGGAAAACTTTATGAATTATGAAAAGAAAATATTTTCATTATAAATTATATTATAGATATATATATATATATATTTATTTATATATTATATACTTACTAAATATATATATATATGAAATTGAACATTGAATCAACAAAGGGCATACAGACTTTCAAACAGAAAATCTCAAGCCATTATATAAATACATACATGCAGTTAAATATTTCTTGTCTATACTTAATATATTTCAACTCTTAAAATATTTAAATTGTTTTTGAAAGCGCTCGGATCTATCAGTTAATTCGGACAGAGAAAATATAATTTATAATCCGAAAAAAAAAAATTATATACATTATGAGAAATTATATCCTCTTAAACCAAAACATTCCTGTCTATCCGGGTATTCAATGAAAAATTACATTCATATATATATATACTAAATTTAATAAATGTAAAGTTTAGTTTAAGAATAATGCAATATATATGATCCAATAATATTATATATGGTCATAAATCATGCTAAATCATGAAAATTGTTTGTCAGAATTTTTTTCCTTGACATATTTATTTACTCAATTTTGACCGATTGAAATCATCATTGTATACTTTTGAGAATTATATATAATATTTAATTAAATTAATTTTTATGGAAGTTATGTTGAAAAACAATTTCATAAATAGAAATAGTCAATATATTTTATACATATATATGTGTGTGTGTGTGTGTGTGTTGTGTTAATTTGTGTGTGGTTTGTGTAATAAGAATATTTGAATAAATTCTAATATATATAGAAATTATGCATTATATATAGAAATTTGAAATTAATTATTAAGCATTACTGATGAGTCCTCAAAATAGGACGAAAATGGAAAGTAACTTTGAAGGCCATTCTGTTGAGGATTTTCTAGATTGATAAAGGATTAGCAATTATTACTTACATTTAAATTTATAAAATATTTCTATTAAGACAATTTTTCAGGAAAATAGGTTTCTCATGTCCAGTATATTTTATCGCGCTTTCCATTACTGATGGGGGTTTCCTTCCTAAACTTTTGTTTGAAATAGTGTGGAATGTCAACATCTTGATTATAACTTTATTCTCTCTTACAGTTACATGTGATGCCCATTTTAGCAAATGTCATGGCTGAATGTTTTCAAGTGACGTGGTTTTCATTATTTGATACTGTTCTCGTTGAAAATGTAGCGCCAATCATTCTTATATATAGAAAATAATGTGGATTTACTTGGATTATTTCCAAACATTAAATGTTTATATATATATATATATATATATATATTATATATATATATATATATAAATATATAAATAGCCACACTCCATATATGAACGGATTATATATATATATATATATATATATATATATATATATATATTTAGTTAAGAAAGCGTTTCCAAAAATTCAATGAACGCTAATATTTATAAATTTAAAAATTGATCAAAAAAAGATCTCAATTATTTATTCGTCCACTGTCCCTCATGTGAATGTGGTGTGTGTGTGTGTGTGTGTGTGTGTGTGTGTGTGTGTTGTGTGTGTGTGTGTTTAAAGACTTGGATTATATCGACAGATTTTGGACCCCATTACTCCAATTAAATGGAAAATGTAAAAAACTGGAAAGCTATAAAAATAATTAATAAAATGTTAGATTTGTCCGCTTTATTTAACGAAAGATATTTAAAAAGAAAAACTTATGCCCAAATATACACTAAATATATATATATATATATATATATATATATATATATATATATATATATATATGTTTTAAGAGAAATGTATTAAAATATTTATATTTTATCTCATTTTAGCTGCTCTTTTTCAAATAAAAAAACATTCTCATAAAAATTAGGGATACTTTTGAAAGCAAGAGTGAATAGAATAATTTTACAATTTACGATAAAAAATCGCATTAAATATAACATTAAGTTTTACCTTATTAATCACTTCATGTTTTATTGATATATAAAAGAAATACTTTTTTTCTATCTTGAGATTTATTTGCTGAACATTGAATAATCGTCTAAACTATCTAAAACTGTCATTAATATTTTTTTAAATTTTTTATGAGTATTTATTTTTATTCTTTTATTTCATGCTCATTAACATCGAATTTTATTATTATTATTATTTTTAAAAATTCATCTTTTTTTTCAGTATTATTATTTAAAAATAACATTTTTTTTAAATTTATCCTCATATGCATTTGTTTTCTAATCATGTACTGGGCCATCAGCACTGACCTCAAATAACATGTGAAGAATAGGAGTTATGTCGTTCCCACTTTCAGTTATAACTTAATTCTCCAAGTTTGTGTTCACCTCTGCTGTGGCCAGTTATTGGACTCACAACTCTTTGGATCAAGTCTCTGGATTGCTTTAAACCAACGCCTTTATCCACTGAGCCACGTAGAAAAATCGACCCCAGTGGACAACATAAAGCGTTCGATTCTAAATTACAACGTTATAACACGGAGAGTACAATGGTTGAAACATAGTGAATGGGGCGATAATGATAATAGTCAGAACAATGTAAATCGTTACAATACCTCATCACAAAAATATACACAGATCCTGAAGAAGGCCAGAGCGCACAACGCCGAAACTTCGGAAATGTAGCAATAAAGACGAGGACAACAGTCCGAACAATCTTGAATTGTTTTAAACAGTTTGTTTCAATTTCATCTCAGAACTATAGACAAATGAAGAAGGTCGGAAATTTGAACAGAATATTAGACTTGAGATTAAATAAGAAAATAAT